ATAATTCAGAAGACAATTAAGAGACAAAATAAAATCAGTAAAGAATTGGAACTGTTGCCAATAGAAGACAGATGCAATGCAAAGTATTTTTAATATTTAAAAAAGTAGAAAGGCTTATCCAAATTGAGAATAGGTCTATGGAAAACTGCCACAAATCAACAGATGAGGAAATAATTCGATTTTAAAAGTGCCTAGCATCTCTTTAACATCCTGCAGTGAGATATAACAATCAGCTACTTCTACAAAAATCAGAAAAAAAGTCACCAGGCATTTTATTTTCTATTTAATGTCTTAAAATGCTCTTTTAAAAGGGCATGGCATATTCTTCAAATTATTGCTTCACAATTTATCAGATTTAGTCACAGCCACCTTCTCAAGTCTTGTTCTAGTCTTTGACTTAATTTTAAAATGTGACTGGTCAAAACTGTGGTCATTTTATTTTCTCTGTGTAAATAGAAATGTTTTCAGCAGAACAGTTTTTAAATTAATGTTCTTGGTTTAAAATTCATATGCTAGTTTCTTTAAAAACAAAATAGAGGCTAAAGTTCAGTTGTTCAAAATATCATGTCTTGATTAATCAAAGTAATTTAAGTAATAAAACATTTCTCATTGAAATACTAAAAATAAATTTTGGATTTGTAGTTGTTTTAGCTTTTATCCAGATTTTTGAAATATGAGCATACTAAAGTTTTAATTTCTTCAAGAATAGAAAATTATCAAATATTTCACCATAGGTAAGTAGTTGTTTGTATTGTGAACTACCAAACATGTTTCCTAGACTTTAAGATGTTGAGTAACACTTTGTTCTGGTTTGCAGTTTCTCAAGGCAATAGACAACAAGAAAAGTACAAAGAAGGAAGGAAAGAAAATCTAAGGAGTTATAATGTAAGGATTCATAGATTCCTCAAAAGTATCAATTTTTGAACTTTCACAGCTTTTCTACTTTAAGGGAACATTGAAAGTTATGTTATCATTTTAATAAATTGGAAGAAAATATTACTCAACTAGAATTGCTTGGTAGCATTACATTAAAGAACAAAGAATCATACTCTTTTATTCTCCAGACACAACTCTTTTCCAATCCATGTGTATGAAAGAAATTCTTCCTTGAATGAGATACTCCAGAATGATCTCTCTGTAGGATATTTCTCTAAGGCACATGGGTTTCATACATAATTCATTGTAAAATTGCTTTTTATTGGAGGGGGAGGTTATCTTAACATTTTGTTTCTCAAGCATTAAGTGACCCTATGCATGGACTTATCTCATAGGAAGTATCATTAGTTTTTTAAAAATTCTGTGAATTGGCCACAGTAGAAGAAATCTTTTTTTTTTTAATTTTCACATTCAGAAAATGAACTTCTGATTTAAAAGTATATCAGATCAAGAGAACTACAAAATCTATCATTATATAGAACAAAAATTTTAAGCAGATAACGCAATTCCCTAAGGATTCCAGTTATGAAGTATGACATTTAATGTGCAATCCCTATAGAATGTAATTTTGAAAGAACATCAATTGTGTTCAGATACATACTACTTAAGCACTATTTATAACATTTCATTTTTCTTTTTTCATCATCTTTTATTTCATTCAGCAACATGTTTATTTGCTAAATTCACTAAATGAAAATTATTAAACATAGAATTTTTTTAAAGCATTTATTAAATTCCAGGAAGAAATACAAGTCACTACAAAGACAAGGTCACTGACTCTTGTTATAACCTTTCTGAATGAAGAAAGAATGAATTAAAGAATGAATGTATTTAGGGGTGTGTTTATGCACGTAGATTTTCAAGGCTTGTGCATATTCATATTAAGAAATGACTTTAAGAAATATGACTACAGGAAGTTACACTGAATATAAATAAAGGTGGAGATGATCATATGCAGAAGAGAAATAAAGAGGGCCTGAGACTTAGCTCAGTGGTGCCACGCCTGTCTCGCAAGAGCAAGGTCCTGAGTTTGATCCCCAGTAACCAAAAAAAGAGAAATAAAGAGCCAAAAGAACGTATGGAACCAAAACACTGAAGAGAAGAAAGGAAATATTCAGAACCTTATTGTATATATGTACTTTCACTCTTTGCTCCTCTAGTAGTGTTACAGTTCAGAAAATGTTAACCAAAAATTCATTGTTTACAATTGGATTTATTCATAGTCCTATCAGGTATTTTAAGATGAATTTTGGCTACAGAAAGATCTCTCTGGTGGGTGTGTTATTGTACTGCTGTTGTAACAGATTCCAAATATTTAGGGTCTTATAAGCAACACAATTTTTTCTTATACTTTCATAAGTTTAAAATAGGTCTTATACTTTCATAAATTTAATAAAGTGAAGATATCAGCAGACCAACATTCTTTCTTTCTTTCCTTCTTTTCTATTTATCTTTCTCTTTTTCTTTATTAGATTTAAAAAAAATTCTATTGACACATAGTGTACATACTTATAGGGTATATTGTATAAGGATTAAATGAGAATATTAGCCTTAAATATTTATTGTTTCTGTGTTCCTTCGCTTTCCTTTTCCAGCCCCTACAAGGCACTTAGATTCATTGGTTCATAGCTCCATCCTCAATCTTCAAAAGCATCAGTATAATATCTTGTTTTTTCTCTGACCTCTGCTTCCATCTTCCCATCTCTCTGTGACCCTGACTTCCATTGTCTCTCTAATAAGGACCCTTTGAACCTCCCAGTATAATCTCCCCATCTCAAGAAGCCTAATTTAATCACATCTGAAATGTCCTTTTGCTGCATAAATTATTCACAATTTCCAACCGTTACGAATGTGGACATCATGGGTTGAGATGTTATTCAACCTACTACATCTCTGTACCTCTTAATGTGTCATTATATCTAAATAATGTCCTTCATAGCAGTCAACACTGTTTATATTTCACATCAGACTCCAGGAGTTCAAGAATTTGTAGTTAGCTCAGCATTATATCCCAGTATGTGGCGGAGTGTCTGACATATAGTAAATAATCAATATCTCTTGTATAGGCAAGTAAATTACATCCATATATGAAATATCGTGATTCCCGGTCAGAGGCTTTATAGAATATCATAATGCTGCTTTTTCAATTGGTGTTATCAATTTTAAAACTATATTATTCTGAAAGTAGTCCCCATGGATTAATTTTACACTTAAATAAAATGCATTTAGCAAAACTGTGGAGTTGCTATACTCATATATAATCGACATAAAATATCCTCCAATTCAGATTATAGTTAAACCAGATCATGACCCATGTCAGAAAATTTAGTTGCTTAGTTCTATTTTTACTTCTTGTGGTTTAACAAGAGAAGTCATGCCACATTAAATAAATTACAATTTTGTAAGACATATTCTGGAAACTGTGTAAGGAGTGGAAAAAATCAGTTTTTTATATATTTGGACCACATAATATAGGTTGTATTAAAGCATGGAAACATATTTGTAATTTGCTTCAAAGTTGGGGATAATATGCCCCTCATATTTGTAGTAAAGTGATTTTTATCTGAAAGGAGACTAGTCCAAGAAGATGAGATCCCTTTAACATAGAAAAAATGAAATGCACATCCACAGGTTGCCATGGTTTCAGTTTAGCAGAAAAATGAAATTGTAAGGTCACCAGTAAGTTCTGAGAGTATTCTTTTTTACAAAAAGAAATCATATCAAAACAGTGTAAAAACCTAACAAGATTTAGAACAATAAAGGCACTTTGAAAATTACAAAAGCATTAGTCAATACCATTTAAGCTGATTTATTACCCTTTAGTGCCATAGTCTCTTAGCTGCTGATGGGGATCCGGTTAAGAAATAAGATTATAACTCCTTTCTTGAGGTTTCCACATACTACTTTCTTGGAAAATAAAGCAAATTAGACAATACATCATTGTCCATATCACTTCTCTACTAGTGCCAATCTAAAAAGTGGATATTCGGGTTGGAAATTATTTTCCCTTCCACTAAATCGATATTCTGTATAGTCATTTTCAATCAAATGATGCAGAATACTCCTTGATTGCCAAGAAGGATATCCAATTTGAATTAGGTTAAAGAACCAAAAAAATCACTCAAAGGACAATATTTTCTTCGGTCATATTCTAATAGCTTGGTGAACATTCTTCAATATGAAAACTTTAAGAAAGGTTTTATGTGGGTTCCTACTTGGGTCACATGCCTCCCTACTCCTTGGATTGTTCATTTGACCACATAATGAAAGTTTGGTGGTTGATTTATATTCATTCAACTGCCTTGTTACTCACTTCTCTGATAGCTAGGCATTTGTTAATCAAAAAATAAATAGATAAATGAAAGGGGGAAACAGTATGCAGCAGGTACAATGATGCCCTCTAATATGTCCATAATCTAGCTCCTTAAACATGTGAATATATTAGGTTACATAGCAAGGGGGATTAAATTGGCAGATGGAATTTAGATTGCTAATCTGGTGACTTTAACATAGGAAGATAATTTTGGATTATTCAGCTATGCCCAATGTAATCACAAGGGTCCTTAAAAGTGGTAAAGGTGAGCAAAAGGGAGTTATAGAAAGAGAAGTGCCGATGGAAGGACCCAAGGAATGCTATGCTTGTGGCTGGAAACTGAAAATATGGAGCCCTGAGCCAAAAGTGAAGGTGGCCTCTAGAAGCTGAAAGAGATGAGGAAATAAATTATTTCTTAACACCTCCAGAAGGAACACAGCTTGTGGGGATCTACGCTGGGCTTATAACCTAAAGAATATGGGATAAGCAACTTGTGATATGGGAGACCAGATGGGAAGACTGAGGCCTAATTGGCCTCCTCGGTGAGCACAGAGAAGAAAGAGGGCATGCAATCATGCTGACACGCTGCAGGCACGCTGCAGGGAGGAGTAAAAACACCGGAGGTTAAGTTGTTTACCTGGAGAGGTACCGTGGAGGCGGGGAGGCAGATGAATCCTAGGAAACTCTAATTGCTTGTACCCGTGTCTGAGTGAATAAAGCCAAGGTGTGGCAGTCATTTGGGGCTCTACGTTGAAATAAGACATGAACCCTCTGTCACCCCGGATTTTAACCGATTTGTGTCTCTATTTTTCATCCCCGTCAGCCCTTGGTCAGGTAAGAGCTTGTAGGCTGGTTTCTACATGTGATGTCTGAAATCACTATGTTTTCAATAACGTGTTATGGTATAGTAGTAATTGAAAACTAATACAAAAGGAGACAGCGCAAGTATGATCAAAGAACAATTTTTAAAATTGGAAGTCTTATTTTCTCAGTCATACAGTTATCCTTAATATAAAATGATCAGTATTAATTTTAGTTTTCCTTTCTTGAGGTTAACATTGGAGGATAACATAGCCTTTTAGTGAATATATTTCCTCCAATGACAAGTGCTATAATTTACACTGCTAAATGTCTTCATAGGGGAAATTATTCTGATGTTTTAAAATTTTTGTTAAGTGAATCAAATTCTATTTTCAGGTTTTGCAGAACTTGGTATTTAGCTTATCACTTTGTATAACTTTTGATATGACGCAGGTAATGTGCCTCTCAACATTGAGGCTAATATTTTTCCAGTTTAACTGTTTTAATTTAAAATGTTCAGATAAGCCCTTTTATGCTTTATAGGCCTCTTCAAATTGTACTCAGGCTATTTCATCTTTTCTAAAAAATGTACCCTCATTCACTTTCCTTTTGTTTTAAAATAGCTGATTTGCCTTAGGTTAAAATAAATAAGATCTAGCTAGCCAGCCTCTCCAGAATTGTTCAGGATTCATACTTTCCTTGACCCTACTGTTTATAAGTAATAATTGCAGGCAAATATACCTGTAATACAAACTATATTAAGATAATATTTACTTGTAAATAGAGTTGTCATTTTTACATGTTAGTTTTGACACTGAACTGTGGATCCTTTGTTTCCTATCAAAAATAAAAACAACTTTCTTCCTGAGAAAAGACTTGTTTTCAAATGTGCTCAACACAAACTCATGTACACGCACACATACACATGAAGTAATGCATATATTAGTTTGATTTAACCACCCCACATCTATCTAAGCATTATGGTGCACAGTAAAAATATAATTTTTATATGTCAAGTTAAAATAAATGTAAAAAGAATTCTAATGACAGAAAATAAACTTGTTTAGGGGCCATAGTAAAAATTAACCACAACTGTATTAAATACAAATCTATCAATGGCTTCTGAAAACCAGCCAAAATGTAATGACCTCATTTTAATGTATAACTGTCAGTAACAGTCATACTTCATTAATTTTCCCATGGCCAAAGTTCAACCAGTATCTTTCAATAGACACTATCAGTTCTGAAATCTTGACATCTCTGAAATCTTGTTAAACTCTAAAAAAGATCAACACTTTGCATTGTTCAGCGATTGTATGGTAAACACTCTCTTTGCTTAAGAAGCAATAAATTCGGATTTTCTGTTTCAGATATTTTTAATACTGTCACCCATGCCAACCATCCTCATCTCATCCATTCCACTCTCATGCTAAATAAATACACACACACACACAGGATAAGGAGCAAATTTAAGGTTCAAAAAAGATTTTTTTCAGCTTAATTTTTGTGAACCTCTGTTTTCTATTTTCTATTCCTTTGATTCTCAGCAATAAGCAATCTAAGAATTTATCTGGGCTATAGTTACTCTCATGGGAAAAAAGCAAACCTTGTATACATGAACTGTATGACAGTGTGGATAATTTGTTCTTCTAGCAGGGAAAGATGAAATTCCATTTAAATTACTTTCCTGTTGACTGGATTCTCTCTGGTCTCAGATATACAGTGGCTGGTCTGTTCTAGTATTTAGACAGCTGACCACATTTAGTAAAAAGATGTCATGGAATCTGATTCTAGCCATTTAGTCTCCTGATTATAGCCCATTTGTCTAGTTTGGATGAAGTTAGACCACTAGCTCTCTTAGCACCTTGGTGTCATCTTAGTCATTTATCACATACCTAAGCTTCAGGAAACCACAGTTACATTAGAGGAAAGTCGGGTCAGGCTCACCCTATTTTTCTTTTAAATTTTGAGATAAGGTCTCATTAAGTCACTAAGTAGCCCAGGCTGGCAACATATGATACTCAAACTTATGAACCTCCTGCCTCAGCTTCCCAGAGTGTTGTGGTTAAAGGCGTGTACCATCATGCCTACCTATAAGCTTTATCCCGGGAAGTGTGCCTCTAGCATCACCGGGGATTCTAAGATCTTCTGTACTTAGTGTTTCTAAGTTCCCCCTTCCTTGGTTTCAGTTCGCTTGTGAGTAGACTAAAGACGCCAGTGCCTAACCTTTTCTTGCAAGCTCTTTCTTCCACCTTTCACAAGCTACTGAGAAAAAAGAGAAACTCACCATTTCTTTTATGAATTTCTCTAGATCACAGTTTTCTTCTTCCCTATAGATACTGCAGGTCAAGGCCAGAGTTGTAGCTCAGTGTTAGAGTGCTTGCCTAGCAAGCACAAGGTCCTGGGTTGAAGCCCTAGTCCTGACCCCCAAAATCTGAAATTTATAGCTCAGGGAAAAGGCTTATCTTTTCTAACATCTGAAATAACTCTATAATCAAGTCTTCCAAGTCTGTGTTATTGGAACCTAAGGAAGTTCCTCTTTCTCTTGATAAAACCTGGCTTTTTAAAGTTATTAACATATTTTAACTCAAGGAAAGTTCATTTTGCATTTCAAAAGGTGGTTGTTAAGCCCTTATATCTCTTCTTATTCCTGTTAGGAAAACTCCAATCTTTCTCAGGTTGAATGAGTGCTTCTCAGTAAGCAAGGGAATGTAAGAGATAATATGTATTTACTGTTTTGAAAAAATTATATCTATGATATATTGATATAAAATTTCTGTCCAAATATTTGAAACATTTTAAAAATATATTGCTATCTAATAGGTGGTTAGAATCATTCCAAGTAGTGAAGTCTGTTAGTAGTTTATGTACTTGTAGAGATTGCTCATAAGCCTAAAGATTTGACAACTTAAAGGGCATATATTCTCCTGAGTGCTATTAATCCTTCAGCTTTTAATACTAATTAAGTACACTTCCTCCTATGAGACTAAAATTGAGAGAATTTTTAACCTAGTTACCAATATATTTGTATTGTGGGTTGCTGGAGTCAGAAGGAAGCAATGAGTTAAAAGGATAGTCATTCAGTAACCAATAAAAAAGAAAAAGAAAAATGAAATGGGTTCTAAGTAGCAAGCATTTTCTGGTAATAATACTAAGAAAATACAAATAAATAAAATATAGTCTCATCATTGGAAAAGGCACCCAAACAGGAGATAGAGTGAATTCATTGTTATGTGCACGTCTCTGAAAAGTACCAAGTCTTATCTCATTTTTAGGTTATTAGTTTGATTTATGGTACCAAGAGTAACAACATCCTAAAACATTTGTTAAATTCTTATTTTTCATGCCTGGGGAATTTGAAACTGTTTTGTATGCATTAACATTTTAAATAAAACAATCCTGTGAAGCAGTCATTATGATCTCTATTTTACAGATTAGAAAATTGCAACAAAAGTAATACAATAGCTTTTACAAGGACACAGAAATAAATGTTGTGAAGTTTGATCCATACATTTTGACTTCATGCTCTTAATTTGTAAATTATGGTATCTCTCCAGAGTCCCCAGTATGGTTTAGAAAGAGTTGCAGACTTTAGAGTTTGCCCAGATGTGACAGTTTTTATGCACACAGCATAGCACTGATGTTTCTGGATGTTCTCCTTAATTGTTGTTATTCCACAGACCACTATATCCTCCCCCCGTTTAGACACACAGAATCTGCTATTACTAGAAATTTATCAGTGCTTATCATTTTGAGAGTCTGAAAATCATGTTCAATTTTAATAAAGAGAAAACCTCAAGGGCTCAATCTAAGTTTCAATGAACTATAACAAGAAACAAGAAGGAGCTTAGCTGTCTGCAGCCTTAGTTATCTAAGAGGACTATTGTTTTCCTTTTGGGAATACTAAGTAGTAATTGACTTGGCATACCTGCCATTCACACTGCCATTGTATAGAATTACCAAGTTCTTTGTGCCTAAAGCTGCTAAATTGGGTTCTGCCAATCTCCCTGGCCCAAATAACTATGGTTATTTGGTAATCAAAACTGATAAAATTCAAGCTTGTACCCAGATTCTTAAGTGTTTGGGGGATATCTTAGAATGTTTTCTCCTTGTATAACAAAATACTATAGACTGAGTGGCTTAAAAAGAATAGAGCTCTATTTAACTCATGATTCTGGAGGCTGGAAGTCCAAGAACATACCACTGGTATCTACTCAGCGTTTTCACTGTTTCATCATATGATGGAAGATAAGAGAGGATGCTGGGAAAGTTGAGCTCCTTTTAAAACAATCTACCTTCATGAGAAGAGTCGCCATTAGTCCTGATTTGTCAGTTGGATTAAGAAACAGTCAATTAGTAAAGGTGTGTCTGGGTGGGTCATGGAGGATAGACTTTGGTATCGCATGTGGTCCCTAGCCCATTCCTCCCTGGCACTGTTTCTCTGCTCTACTTCCTGATCTCCATGAACTAAGGAAGCAGTTTTGCTCCACCACACCCTTCCAGTATGATATATTGGCCTTGGAGCCAGCCAATTATAAACTGAAACAGGGAGCAATTAAAACTCTCCTTTAAATAAATAAAACTCCTTTAAGTTGTATGTGTTAGATATTGTGTTCCAGCTAAAAGAAAACTGACTAATACAAGAACTAACTCCCAAAAGAATAGCATTAATTCATTCATGAGGGTGGAGCCCTCCTAACCTAAACACCTTTGGACCTTATCTCCCAATGTTGCCAAATTGAGAATTAATATTCCAAAACATGAACATGTGGAGAACACATTCAAATCATAGTAGTGGGCAAAAAGAGTATACATACCCTGCCTGAAAAATCTGCATCCCACATTCCTCAGAGACAGTTTTGTATATAAAGTTATCCACTATGTTCATGGCTTTTCTTTACCATGTAATGGAGGGTTCTCAATATCAATCCTAACACAATAAAAATAACAATAGAAATAAAATGACCAAAGAACAAAAACAATCAGAAAAAGGACCCCCATATTGAACATTGCAATGAGCTTGTATATAGAAA